TACAGTCGCACTACAGCTACACTACAGTTGTACTACAGTCACACTACAGTCACAATACAGTCACACTACAGTCACGCTACAGTCGCAGCGTATATTTAAATAAAAATCTATAATGTATTCAATCATCATTTCAAGTCTTCTTCAGTGTTGTTTCCATCAGAAAATTAGATTTTAAATAGAATTCCGTTCCTTTAAATTATTATCAATTAATTAAATTAATTTAAAACAAATTTCAGTTTTGGAAAAATAAACAATTTTCAAAAAATGAAGTGAATAATTTAAAAGAAAGTTAGAAAAGTTTGTCATTTCTACATAAACACACAACTGAATTTGTCCACCAGATTTAACCCTAATTTTTTTTTTTTTTTTCAAAAATTCAATATTTTACTCCGATTTTAGAAATGTTACATTTTGAAAAAATCTGGTTAAATTATAATTCAAACCGCGGGTTGTGTGGCTGTAGCCTGGCCTCGTCTCAGCGTGGACAAAAACACACAGTGAACCTGTCAACAGTTCCAGTGCCCTGGGCCTTGAGCGTGAGCCGGAACATTCTCCGATGACACCGGTGTTCTCAGAAAAACCTGTTTTAATCTGGATGTTTACTGACTGTTTCCTTCATCTTCCCGACTGAAGAGCTGACAGAGGACTGGAGTCAAGACTGGAGACGTCCAAACCCAAACCAAAGATCCTTTCTTCTCCAGCAGGAGAAGGAACTCCACGATCACATTTTTTTTATATTTATTGGAGACTTTTTGGAATTCCGTCGATTTATTCCTTCCAAAGAAAACATTTTGTTGAAACCGGGACAAAAACAATGAAATGCCAAAAAAAATCTGTCAGACTCTGGTCTGTCTGTAGCTTTACTTCCCGGTTTCTTCTTGTTATTATTTTTATTTTTTTTTTTTTTTTTTTTTTTTCTCAGCAGCAGCGATGCCAAAGGAGGCTGCCACCAAAGTGAACAGATTGAGAATGCACAACGACAACACTCACCACACAAAGAACATATGAGGAGAAAAAGTATGCACTGTAAAAAAAAAAATACCAAAAAAGAACCTTGAAAAGAAACGTAAATTCTATTTATCTTCTTACTCATATCAGACGTCCAGCACTTTTTGTTTTTGAAAATGTCGGTTATTTAATTTTCCAGCTTTGATGCGTGAGCGACAGACACATGTACGGTAGGACGATGGGACGTGGAGTCATTTCTTATAGAAACAAAAACTGAGTCACTCAGTCCAACCACAGACGTCCAACCACAGAAACGTGGGAATAAAACAGTTAAAAATGAAGAGATTTTTTTATATGAAAAAACACTGTTGACTGTAAACAAAGATGGCTGACATGTGTGTGTGTATATATATATATACAGTACATATACATATATACACAGTGTATACATATGTATGTATGCATATGTATATATAAATATATATGTATATTTATATATACAGTACATATATATGCTAATCTATATTAACATATAGATTATTATGTATTTATACGTATACATACGTCCATTTATTTTCACGTGTGCAAGGCGCAGCAGATTTGCCGTTAACGCAAGGGTCATGGTTCCATCGTGTTGCGGTTAGCATATTTGCCGGCGAGCGCATGTAGTCCTAGGTTCGATTACTAGAGGAACCACATACTTATAATTATGTATGTATATATAAATATGTATATATACGTATATGTGTATATATGTGTGTATATATGTATATATACATATATGTTTATATATATGTATATATATACATGTATATGTATATATTATATACCTATATGTATGTATATATATACATATATGTATATACGTATATATACACATATATACATATATTTATATATATGAATGGATGTATACGTATATATATATATATATAATGTACTACATTTTTACATTTTATATTCAAGCCAGAATGTGAACCGCCTTTATTTACAGCCCAGTTTGATATTTGATAGTTTGTTCCCTGATTATTTTTTTGTTGTTGTTGCCATTGAAGAAATTTTCTATCATTTTTTTTCATATTTTTTCCATGGATTTGTTGGATGTGTGCGATAAACATCAAGGAGGGAAAGGAGCTCAGTTTCACCAAAGGATTTTGTGTTTGAAAAAGAAAAAAAAAGCTTTAAAAACCATAACAGCAACAACGTATCATTTCTCCTCCCAATGATCAACACGGACGTAACTGAGACATCTGTACGGAGAGGAGCAGAGGTCACGACCTTGTCTGTCTCGTGTCTGTGCGACTGACGTTGTACCCTGTCACCGTGGCGACCAAAACTTCCACGTGTTTCAACCAAAGATTCTCAGCTCTGCTTTGCTTCCATGTAAAATATCAGAGTTTGACAGGAAGTAAAGTTGGTCGTAAAGTTCTGAGACACATTTCTGTTTCTAAATTAAATTTAAAAATGAAACCTGATCGGATTTGACAAAGCTGTAGGATTAGCGGTTAGCACGCCTGCCTCGGAAGCAGAGCAGAGAAGTCCTGGGTTCGATTCCCAGAGGAACAACATACTTGGTGCCTGCCTGCAGGGGGCAGCCTGTTGCAGCAAATCTTAACACAAGACTTTCCCAAGTGTGGAATTAATGAAGTTCAAATTATTATTATTATTATTATTGCAAAACACAGCTGATCCAGAGAGAGTGAGATCTGTCTCAGAACTTTTTGACCTGTACATAAGCTGTAATTTTTATATCACTCAGAAACAAAGTCGTCTGTCTGAGTACTTTCTGACTTACTCTTCTAAAAATCAAAAACAGGAAACAGAATTAAGTCACATTTAATGTACGGTTGATGGAGGTAGTGGCAACAACAAGCTTTAACCCAAATTTAAAACCTGAAATCCACCTTTAAAGATCAGCGGTCGTAGTAAATGTATAAACGTGGAACTTCATTCACATCGCAGCAATCACTTCCTAATATTGTTTCATGTGAATGGACGAACGCAGCCTGGGGTCATGTGACACGTTTTCATGTCATGACGTGTTCCTTAAATTCCTGATTCCTGATTCTGAATAAATCCATCAAACAGACAGGTTTATGATGCTGAAAATCCGGCAATTTTTTTTTTGTTAATGTCAAAAATGCACAGTGAATCAGTGCTGTATATAAAGGTACAAATGAGATTTTTTTTTTTTTTTTTTTGTATAAAGGAACCAAAAAAGACTGAGGTGGAATAACTTTATACCAATGTGAAAATGGAAACAGGAAGTCACTGTTTGACAAATATTACGCAGTCGTTTGGTGAAGAATCAGCTGCCGTTGACGAAGGTTTACGTTCGATTTATTAATGAAGTTTTCAGCTTCTCTCCGTCTCCTCTCTGGACTCTTTTTCTCCTTTTTCTTTCTTCCGAATTTGTTGATATATTTTGACGGTCCTGGTGTGACGTCACTGGTCAGTAAAATGGCGGCTCGTTCGCTGTTAGATTAAAGGTGGAAAGTAAAGAACTTGTGAGTTATTTGTCATTTATAATTATTTTGGGAACTTTTAATTTTACCTAAGTACATTTTGACTCAAGTATTTTACTTCGCTACATTTAAAAAAGGAACCCGTTAATGAGTAAAAAATGAAATGCGGAGAAAAACAAAATGACGATGAGAACGAAGCGAAAGATTAGTTCACAGAGACTGATTCGTTCATAGCGAAAGATTAGTTCGCAGTGAGTGATTCATGAGTTTATAATGAACAAATCTTTTTTTTTTTTTGAGAATTGTGGCGAATTGGGTACTTTATATGTGACGTCCTGGTGTGACGTCACGGGCCAGGAAAATGGCGGCTCGTTCGCTGTCAGGTTAGCAGAGATGGAAAGTAAAGAACTTTGCGAATTTTTGAGTTATTTGTCATTTATAATTAGTTTTGGGAACTTTTAATTTTACCTAAGTACATTTTGACTCAAGTATTTAACTTCGCTACATTTTAAAACATGCGGAGAAAAACAAGTTGACAGACTCTATCCCGTCGTTGGATGATGGCTGCTGGTGCCGAAGAGGAAACGGAGGTTGAGGATTACCGAGCGGAGGACTCGGGGAGAGAAGGAAATCCTCGGCCGTATCTCAGGCAGCGAACGAGTCAAAAACGTTATTATGCGCGGTATAACGTGTCTGCCCCCGGCGGACGGAGCTGTCCTTCTGGAAACTTCCACATGAAGCCCGCGAAATCTTGTGTCGGTAAGTAAGAGTGTCTGTGCTTTCACTTGTGTTTCCCAAATATTATTGTATACTTTTTGGTTAAAACCGTCGTCCGTTAAATAAAAAAAGTGCTTCATAATAGCGACTATTTCCGCTTAGCTTATATCCGCCCCGTTAGCTTATGTGACGTAGAGCGGCACCGGAGCACAGTCAGACTATGGACCTTTCTCCGTTCCCTCAAAATCACAGCTAGGTTTCGCATTTTGACATAATTTGCGCGAGATGTGACTTTAAAGTGACAAAAAGGGATATTAAGAAGGTGTTAAATATGGAGGGCGGCACTTCAGGTTCCTCTCCTTGAATCGCAACCTTAACGTGGTGGAGGGGTTTGAGTATCCGAATGAACCTAGGAGCTATGTTGTCGGGGGCTTAACGCCCCTGGTAGGGTCTCCCAAGGCAAACAGGTCCTAGGCGACGGATCAGACAAATAGCGGTTCAACCCCCCC